ACAGCTTGAGGCTCTGTCTCAAAAAAAAAAAAAAAAAGGTAGTTGAGTTAAATGAGGTCATTGGGGTGGACCATAAGCCAACCTGGTATCTTTTTAAGAAGAGGAAATACAGGTATATGCACAGAGAAAGACTCTGTATGAAGACAGAGAAGATGGGCATCTACAAGGAGAAACCAACCCTGCTGCTGACACTGTAGTCTCTGATTCCATCTCCAGAACCATGAATAAATTTCTGTTGTTTAAGCCATTTAGTCATGATACTTTGTTACAGCAGCCCTAGCAGATGGGCCTAAGGGTACAAAGGGAGGATGCAGAAGGGAATAGCAGAATGGAGAGGATGACTTGAATAAACACACTGAACATACCTTCCTCTGTTTTCCATATACTGGCACCTCCACTATCAAAACCAACTGGAAGGGCTCAGCACCCATAGCACAGTGGTTACAGCACCAGCCACATACACCAAGGGTGGCAGCTTTGAACCCAGCCCGGGCCAGCTAAACAACTGCAACAAAAAAATTGTCAAGCGTTGTGGCGGGCACTTGTAGTCCCGGCTACTTGGGAGGCTGAGGCAAGAGAATTGCTTAAGCCCAAGAGTTTGACGTTGCTGTGAGCTGTGACACCACAGCACTCTACCATGGGTGACATAGTGAGACTCTGTCTCAAAAAAAAACAAAAACAACTAGATGGCTGGTGTAGTGGCTCACACCTATAATCTCAGAACTCTGAGAGGCTTAGGCAGGAGGATCCCTTGAGCTCAGCAGTTCTAGACCAGCCTAAGCAAAAGCAAGACCCTACGTCTACTAAAAATAGAAAACCTGAGGCAGGAGTTTTGCATGAGCCCTGGAGTTCAAGGTTGCTGTGAGCTATCATGACACCAAGGCACTCTACCCAGGGTGAGAGAGTGAGTGTCTCAAAAAAAATTAAGTGGAAGCCAGAGGGTTAGGGAGCCATTCATGTAGGTCAACCTCCCAGGGCACAGAGTGGGGTGGAGAGAGATGGAGAGTGTGTTTGGAGCATCAAATGGAAAATGTGCACCATTCCCCACACAGTTGAATTATCCTTTTAGTGTCACTTTAGGAAGGCAGAATGATAAAGTCACTACTAATTCAGTAAAGTTTTTAGACAAATATGTATTTGGTTAATGAAAGGATCTACATACTTTCTCTAAGCCAAGTTTCCCTGACCTCCCCAGCCTGATAGTAGTAATAATGTCACATAACTCAGATTGGATGATTCTTGTGCCCTGAACACTAAGGACTCATCTCTGCACACACACCCTCGCTGCCAAAGCCACTCGGCTCTTTCTGGAGTTCCCTGGGGTAACTCCAGCCTGCATATCTGCTCAGGCCTCCTTCACTGCCACCTGCCATTCTCACGTCCGATTGAGAGTGGTCTCTGCTCTGGACACCCACTGCTTAGTGGAGGCACCATCATATGGATGCCACATGGGCTCTGCCAAAGCCACCTCCCAGGTAGCGTTCTCTGAGTTGTCCACTGAACCTGGCTCCAGGCTATGATGGTGAATAGACCCCACAGTTCTGTTGCTGTGACTTGCTCTGCCAGGAGCCCCCCAGTACAGCCCTGTTTGTACCGTGTGTCTATATCATACTTGAGCCCATGCTGCCCCACTGGAGACCGCTCTGTGGTGTGGTCACTGATAGGTAAAACAAGGGCTGGATCAAAATACATAAGATCAAATGGAATGCTGGGAAGTTTATTTTACACTTGGAATACAAATGGGCTGAAATCTAAAGAGATGTCAGCAGTATTAGGGAGGGAGGCAGTTGTTTTTATGGCAGGCTGAAGAGCAGCTGGCTTTACAGACAAGTCTTTCTTATCAGGGCATCAAGGACATGCCCTGATTGGGACTCACCAGCCGGCTCCTCTTATCAAGGTGTCAGAGGCTTGCAGTGTAAGCATATTTTTTATAGGTTTGTAACTGGACCAGTGCAAGGATGTGACGAATCTACAGCATGTTTCTCATATCTGAGTTTTGACCACCTATAACAGTGTGGCACAGAACGAGTTTTTTCAGACCTAAGATGGAGTTAGCTTGGCCAACCTAACAGTCACCACGCCGTTGCGTTCTTCAACCTGGTTTCTCCCTGCACGCACATGAACACACACACACACCACAATCTGCTCCTTCTTTAGCACTTCCTTAACAACATACAGATGGAGCCAAGGAGGCCAGGCTCAGAATTTCATCAGGCATATCTGACTTCCAATTTAAGCCTTGCCTGTGGTTTGGAAGCTAGCAGCACTTCGCTGTGCTGATCATTATTTACTTGGTCTTCAGAATACTGATTCCCATATACAGAACTGTCCCATATACACATCCCATATACAGAACTGTCTATAAGGTCTGAGGAAACTACAGCCCCCTTGAGAATCCCTGAGATGGACCACAAAGAGTTTGGGAGTCCACATCAGTATGTCTAATGCACCTGCATCCCCCAGTATCATGGTTGGGAAGGAAGTGGTGCGCCAAGAACCA